ATACACAATACAGGCAGGTTAGCTGCAATGAGCGAGTGCTTATCGTCAATCATCAATACTTACCTCGAAACGATCAACTTCTCTCAACATGCAGGACTGAATGACAACTCAACTGTAATGAGGTAGCCACCATATTGAAATAGTAGTACCTTCTAAGCCATCAAACAAAATAAGAATGACTCCCTAGCTACGTGTTTGAGATCCACCAGTCCCGTCAACTATCAATCTCCTTGTTCTATTTCTCTTTTCAGTGTTCCGGCCGCAAGGATCTCTGGGAAGGAGAATGGCCTACTGTAGAATCGTCGCTGACATGGCCAATTGAACAAAGGTTTAAATCTAATACATGTCTCTAGAATACAATTTTGATTCTTTTAAATGAAAGTAAAACTGTTTAAAGTTAAAATGGTTGCCCCCATGTTTAGTGACCCGGTCACCTGTCATTAAAGAATGTCATTACCTTCAGTTATTCATTATCACCTACCAATACATTTTTCAAGTCCATAGTATAATGATTCAGAAATCCGATTGGCGCTACAGGACTTGCACATACAGGGTAAGTAGTGCATAAAAACAAAATCATCGGTGTATTAGAATGATAGAGGGCGCTACATATATCAACATATCTATTTACCTAGATATGTACATGTATTACAAAACGGTGTAAATATCTGCTGAGGACAAGAAAAATTTGTTAAACCTAGAACAACTAATTCTATTATACATCTGGAGTTAAACAGATGCAGACCAAATATTCTTCAAAATTTGTGTTCGATAATAAGTGACGACAGACAGTGGGTAGTCGAATGAATTACATGTGTAATCGAATAATTAGGTAAATACGCACTATGAATTACTAGTACACTACCAGTCTAGGAGCTACCAAAACAACATTTTAAAATTTTGGCAACTCATAATTAAGTTTACTTATAAAAAATCAGAATTGTACACCAATACTAAAAAAGTTGGCCTTATTGTCTGTCCTTCTTATAAGTCACGCCCTCTGGCGACTGAAAACTGCAAGGTTCGTTGGCGGATTCAGGGCCATTAAAAAACGTCATAATGCAATTCAGCAATGGCGTCACCTGTAAAGGTGGGCGATCTAGCCTAACACACTGATTCCGTCCCTGCAACCATAGTCCCTCAACAGTGACTAGGGGACTGTGCTGCAACAGAACGCCACCAGTGGTGAGAGTATTAAAATACACGTACTTCGTTTAAAACTACGAGCGCATTTTCTTGTTCATATTTATTGATTCCTAAAATTACCCTTGGATGCCCAACTCTGATATTAATACAGTCTTTGAAAATTTAATAAATGCTAGAATCATTTCAACGATTGGGTTATCACTACGCACCCGTGTCAATAAGAAAAAAACTAATTTGATCGATATATATTTAGTATGCAAGATTTAATTATTTAAACTTGAAGTGTGAATTGAAGCAAATACTTATTCAGCCGAATACAACAATAAATGTATCTACTGCGTCATAGTCTCCCTATCCCTGTGACCGCGTGTATATAAACTACGTAGTCAGCATATTAATATGTAAATTAGCCAATTATTATGCATACATCCATACAGTTATTAACCTCGCATTCCAAACCACTTATACGGACGTTTTCAGTAACACTAAATACTACTATTTAAAAAGAAATTAAAATCAATTACCCTATATGTATTATTGTAATTCATATTTCATCAACAAATTGTTCGGTAATGCAAATTGTCGGTCGTATTTGTGAAGACGTGTGTTATATTATAAAACCGTGAAAGTATATTGTAATGTTGGTCTGATAAACTGCGAGCACAGTCAGCTGGCTCTTACGTGATAATAAAATAAATGCGATATTTACTATATGGGGGCCGCCATCTTGAATGCGGCATATCACTATTCAATATCTATTATTCATTTTATGGTTTCAGTTTTAAAGTGACGATTCGTAAACAGATCCATTCTGGCGGCGATGGCGGCGATGTCGTGTAATAGACAATACCTTCTTCATCCTCACACCGCAGTCCACCGACATCGTATTCTGAGTTTAAGTTACTTTGAAAACAATTCAGCAGTCCTGACTGAGTGTACCACCATCCGCCACGGCAATAATCGGCGCAGTTCACTCCTATGTTGTTGTCGTTATCAACATCCATGGCACTAAACGGCACTCCATCGTGATATCCTAAGGAGTCTATGATGTTGCCAGACACCTTAGCTCCGATGGCAATGCGATAATTAGACACTTCATCTCCAACAGAAAAGTGATCGTACGTGATTGTGTAATCAACGTCGTCCCACGTCGTCATGTCAATGCGAAGTTTGTACGACTTGAGTGATGTAAGTGCGTGAATTTTCTCATTTCCAAGCCAATATTCACCACTGATATTTCCAAAGCCGTCTTTATAAAGTAACCAAGACTGAAAGAAATCGACGGACCCATTAAAGCGTCTTTGAATCACCGCCCATCCACCTCCGTCAACTCCAATAGAGGTATCCATTTCGCACCATATTTGGTAAGGTGACGTGGCATCGTCTGGTTGGATGTAAAATACACCGCTTTGAGTAACTCCGATGTCAAATATATCTTGACAGTCCCGGATGTAGGCTACAAAAGAAAAAGATTAATTATCATGGGCCCAGCAAATTAATAAAAAATGCTTGCCTTTTTAAAAAAAAAAAAAAAAACGCCCTCTAGCGTCAATAGTATTTTGTG